CGGGCATCGCCACTTCCAGCGACGCCGGTGAGCACCGCTGCCCGTGCAGAAGGGGCACTGGGAGTCAGCGGCCAGCCGTCCCCGCCGGGACCTGGGACACAGTTAGGGTCCCTGGGGCGGGGAGGGAGGGTGCGGTCACCCTGCGGTAGACACTTCTCGAATGTTCACCTGGAAACGCGCCGTCGATAGCATTGCTCTCGGCTAAAAGAGGGGGGTTTGTTTTTCGAACCCAATTCCACAGCCCCCAGCTTAGGCCGGGTTCGAGCCTCAGGTCTCACCTGTAAAACAGGTGTAGCAATAGCACAACCGCAGGTCCCCGAGGAGTGCCATCGTGCAGTCGAAAGCTTAGCGCGGCACGGGGGGTGCTCACGCCCACCCCTGAGAGCCGGGCGGGCGAGGTCACGGCTGGGAACCAGACGGCCCCAGCCCGTCCTGGCTCACTGTCCCACCCGTGGGCACAGACGATGCCCCTTGCTTGGGGGTGGGGTGCAGGGGCTGTGAAAGCTGCTCTGGACTTGAGTTCTCCCAGGATGGGGGTGGGCCCGGCGCAGTGGCCCCCGAGCACCCCCTCTCAGCCCTGCCTCTCTCTCCTCCCAGCTGGCTTCAGGGACTTTTATACCAAAGTGCTTGAGGAAGAAGCTGCTTCTATCTCCTCTGCAGACACAGGTCAGGCCGTGGCTAGTGCCTGGGGGTGGGGGCGGGGGGGTGTGGGCGTGCCACTTGGCGCTGTCTGCACCTCCCGTGCCACCCACCCTCTCTCTCCTCAGGGCTCTGCTCTGAAGCTTGCCTCTCCCGTCTAGCCCGCTGCCCTGCCCCCAAGTTGCTACGTGCCCGTTCAGCTGAGAAACGGCGCCCTGTGCCCACCTTCCAGAAGGTCCCCCTGCCCTCAGGCCCTGCACCTGCCCACTCCCTGGGGGACCTGAAGGGCAGCTGGCCAGGCCGGGGCCTGGTCACTCGTTTCCTCCAGATGTCCAAGAAGGCCCCAGACCCCAGTGGGAGTGGAGCCCATGGGCACAAGCAGGTGGGCATTAGGGGAGCCTGGGAAGATACCCAGGAAAGCCTGGAGCTTCAGGTTGGACCACATTGTTGCCCGCCGCTGTGTGCCACAGGTACCCCGGAGCCCGTGGGGCCGGCCCGGCCGGGAGAGCCTCCACCTTCGAAGCTGCGGCGATCTGAGCTCCGGCGCCTCCCTGCGGCGCCTCCTGTCTGGCTGCCGGCTGGAGCGAGGTGCCCGACCCCACAGCCTCAGCCTCAATGGGGGCAGCCGGGAAACCGGGCTCTGACCCGGGCTTCTGGCCACACGGAACAGATCCGGACGGATGTCGGTGCCTCGGGCTCCAGCTGGTTGGGACCAGCAGCCCCCAGCCTTCCCTCGCACTGGCCGGCACCAAAAGAAACCCGCCGAACACCCCCAAAAGTATCTCTTCCCCTCCTACCTCTGGGGGCCCTTGCTGCTTGCCCCTGCTCCTCTGGCCTGGGAGTGCTTCTGTCCTGTGATGCATGGTGTTCAGGCCGTTGGGGGGAGATGCCCCTGCTTACAGCATTGGAGGAGAAAATAACCAAGTCGTGTCCCCCCGCGTGGGAGCGGCTCTCTCTGACCGGCCAGGGGCACAATGGCCCGAGCAAGGCGTGTCCTGGGCGTGTGAGCACAGGGGGCTGTGTGCCTGTGCGCTCGGGGGGTGAGGCATGACGAGTCAAAAATCCGGGTGGCCCCTCGGCTCTGGCACCTCTCGCTGCATGACCTTGGGCAAGTTATTTAACCGCAGTCGCCTGATCTGTCGTGAGGACGAATGTCTGTAAAGCTCTTACCACACTAAGTAAGCCTTCAATAAATTTCAGTTTTCCCCTCTCTCCTGGCTCACTCTCTGTCACCCCCGAAACCTGTTCTAGCATCTCTCATGGTTAGGAAAGCGCTCTCGAGACACCTACGTTTCTTTCCGGCTGCCACTCCTTACTTCCGCTCCTTTTCCTAGCCACAGGTTCTCTCTCTTCCTTCCCTGGGCTCCCTCGCTCACTCCCGCAGGCTCCCGCTTCCTCTCCCCACGCACCGCTCAGTGACCAAAAGCGATCAGACCCACTGGCCATTTCTCTGCCTGCACCTCGCTCGACCCCTGAGAAGCATTTACTCAGAAAATCAGTGTCTTTCCTCTTTTTCAAACCCTCGCTAGTCTCTGGAGACGTATTAGTCCCCCCGCTGTATGCTCTCGCCATCCTCTGCAGCTTTCGCCCTCCTGCCGGACGGCCGAGCACCAGAGGGCCCAGCGCTCTGCCCTCGGGCCTTTTCTCCTCCCATTCTGTCTGCAGAGGTCTCTACCGAGACCCATGGCTTTAGATGCCATCGATGTGTCGGTGGGTAACTCCCTCCTTGACCCCTCCATGGGCTCAGACTTCCAACCTGACATCTCTAATGGGCATCTCAGCCTCAACATGGCCACAACTCGACCCTTGATTCCCGCCCCCTGCACCTGTTCCTCCTTAGGTGGCACCACCACTCACCCAGTGGCATGTTCCTAAAGCTCAGGACTCATCCTGATTTATTCTTTCCCATCATCCAACACTTCTGATCCTATCCTGAATCCATCCGTGCCTCGCCAGCTACCCAGTTCAAGCCGCTGGTCTCTGCCGGTCTCTGAAGTGACTGATCTATTTGCCCTCTTCCACACAATCCATTCTCCACTCAGCAAACTGATAACGAAATCACGTCACACCACGGTTCCGCCCAGACCTAGTGGCTTTGCATTGTCTCCAGAACCCTTCTGAAACTGTGGTCGGGTACCACCCGACCTGGCCCGCCTCGCACAAGAGCCTTTGCACCTGCTCTTGGCCGAGCGTTCGCTGCCCTGTCCTATGACTACTGCCTTTGTCTAATTGGGGTCATAGTTCCCATTCTCGCCGTCTCGTTGAGCACCCCAATTCTGTCACACTGACAGGTTGTTCTGAACGTTTACCACTACCTAAAAATTATCCTGTGTTTGTCTGAGTCATCCCCGTAGAACGTGAGCTCCCGAGAGCAGGGACTTGCTGATCGCACAGGGTCTAACACTTAGTAAGTCCTCAACAAACTCAAGATACTTAAGCGGCAGAGGAGGGCCTTGAGAGCACCTCTGGGACCCTATGATTTGGGGACAGCTGCCACGGTGCCCTACAAGGAGGGCAGGGAGTAGAGAAGGGCACTGCCCACAGATGGCCTGGGGCCGCTAAGCTTCTTGAATACTTCACCAGCGTAACAACTCCACCTCAGGGAAGGTTGAGGTGCAGCCGGGGTGACAAAATTAGGTAGGAGGAGGTGGAGATTGGGGTTCCCAACGGGGGAGTTTCCGGGCACTGAATGTTCCCTCTCCTGAGCTTCCCAGAAGAGGGAGCTGAAAAATCCTGTTGGGCTTCCGAGGGCCAGATTCGTCTACAGAACTCAGTCTCCCCGGACCCATGACGACCGGCGGGCGGGTGTGCGCCGGGGCGCATGCGCGCTTCCCGCTCCGCGCCCTCTTTCCTAGGAGACTCCCGAATCCGCTCGCGGGGCATCTGGGCTACAGCTGGTCAGCGGGAGCCGTTCGTCCTTAGAAAGACCAACAAGGCTCGCGGAAGGGGCCTGCGTCCCTCGCCCTGACCGTCCGCGGCCTCCCTCCCTGGGGGCCCCGCCG